TCCATTCTAATCCAAATAATACTGAACACTTCAGAACAAAATTCAAAGGAAAAAAAATTACAGATGTTTGAAAACATGAACAGGTGACAAATACAGAATTAGTTTCTCAACATTAGGATGTGCTCATCCAACCTGTTGTGGTTTTTTTTAAGGCAAAGGAAATGTAGTAGATCTAACCTGCCTGCATTTCAGAAAAGCATTGCCACAGAGGTGATTTATAACTGAAAAAGGAACAAGCAGAAGGAATGTGAGCTAAGTATGGACCTAGCTCATGGCCAGGAAAGACATTCTGTGTTGGGCGCATGTAGACACCATGAATACAACCAGAGATAACATCCTAAAACTTTCCTAGTTTGTGACTCTATCTGGTCTCAGAACCCCTGAGACAAAGCTGTTTGGTAGATGTTTGTTTGTTTTCTCAAACATCCACCTCCCTTTTTTCTTAGACACTCCTTTTTTTAGCTCATCCTCAGGCTGGGTGTGTGAAATGAACTGGTCTGGGCTCAGCTGGGACTGTGCTGCTGGTGCAGCCTCTTGCACAAGAGCCACAGATAAGGCAGCTCACACCTAAATGTTGCTGCCCTACACCTGCCCAGTGGCAGTTCTGGAACCATGCATGTTCTGTTGCTTGGTGCTAATAGGAGTGCAGCAGTTGACAGAGGAGTTTTTCTGAGCTTCCCTTTTTAACCAGGGCTACTTTCCTAGACCCCTGGAGTGCTCACACAGTGTCTGTTGAGTGCAATGATACATTACCTTTATTTGAAACTTATTTGCCCAAGTTACTATGTCAGGACTTTTTATCCAGGCAGAAAATTTGAATTGCAGAGAGGAATAAGTAACCAAAAGGTAACAATACATTGTGTTGTGCTTTGGGCTTTTTTTTGCTGACAATTCACAAGATAAAAAAACACAAAGAAAATGTACATTGAAACAGAAACCAGTCAGTTCGAGATGAACACACGGCCACAGATACTGTGATTAAGATCCATGGATTTAAAAGGAAAAGATTTGCATTTAATAATAAGCAAAGTCAATTTTTTTAAAGAAAAAACCACCCCAAACTAGTGAATTAAATAGTCTGTTTTTAAGAGCCTTTTGAACTTCTTTAGCTGTTTTTTTGATGAGAAGCAAATCAGCAGGATCACACAATAGCAGGAAATTTAAGCTGTTCTGTCCAACTGACAAAGCTAATTTCATCCTCTGTTCTAATGCAATGAAAGAAAAAAAAGTCATCCCATTTTTCTAATGATTTAATGGGCAGAAGACTTTATAAATTCCCAAAAGATAAATATTTTTAACTAATTGCTAGCTCTTGCCTTTGTTCTTCTACTTTCATTGTTCTTGCTGCCCCAGGTGAGTGTATCTGATATTGCCAAGAATGACCACACTCATATAAATAGTATCAATCTCCTGGAGTGTCCCATTGATTTATTTTTCATCTGTTGATCTTAAACTGGTGTACTGGTGATACACAAAATAAAACTATAAAAGCACTTGCCTATCCAGATGCCTTTTCTCCCTCCACAAGAGAGAGGGTGCCTGTTTTGTGCTTGCCTTTGGCACAGAATGAAGGCTGAAATACCTTTCATCCATAAAGTAGAACATATCTCATCTTATTAGGGTGGTATCTGAAATTTGAAGAGCGCCTTGCCCATCCTGGCTTTGAATGGGATCAGAAGATTTGATGCTAAAAGTTTACCTATGTTGGACCTCCAATTTCATGCCTGCTTGTACTGTCATGAAGGGTCATGAAATGGGGAGTTTTGGAGAGAGAAACAGATTCAGTATTACATGAAAAAAAAAAAAAGAATCTGAAAAAACCCCAACCCTTTCAAAACCAGAAGCATTTACATACTATGGAAAAGTTTATATGAAATAGAAGCCTGTTAGAGCTATAGAGTTAGGATGCACACAGGTATTGTGATAGAACTCAGAGTTCTGGGCTAAAAAGCTTTATGTGGCTCATCCCTGCTATTGCTGGTCATGTCGACCTCAAAGAGCAAACAGAAGTCTTCTGGAATGCCTGCATAGCCTCTGCAGTGCTGCAGCTCCCTCCCTCAGAGCAGCTTCACAGCTCTTTTGTCTAGCAAAGCTTCTCATGTAAGCCAAGTAGCCAGCCCTGCTGCAGGCCTGATTCATCCCCTTGTTGTTTATTCAGCTTTCCAAGTGACCCTGTGTCCTCCACTCAGACTAATTAGTTAAGTCCAGCTCTGGCTACAAATGAAAACATTTCATTATTTCTCTGAAAACTCTCCTGCTGTCTGAAACGCTTGAATAATCTGTGTCCTGGTTGCAGCTATGATAGAGTTAATTCCTCTGAAGAAAAAGAAAATAATTTACTGCATTAAATTTCACCAAGGTTCTTCTCTAAAATAAACTACTGTTGTAGCTCATTGTCCAGGGTATAGCTGTAGAACTGCCTCTTTGCTTTGAAATAGCTTTGTATCTGCTGGCTGGCTGACAATGAGGCTTTCACTCCCAATGCTAGAGTATCCTCTGCTGCTGGAGGTGGACACAGGCTGCAGGCAGAAGGTCACAGATCTGTATTCCACACCCTGCTGAGCTATTCAGCTGAAAAACTGGCCACAGTGCAGAATGATTTCAGGTCAAACCCATGGGTGTGGAGACATCATTTACAAATACCAGAGTCACTAATCCTGATTTATCAGAGCCAAGCCTCCCTTTAGATAGCTATAGCTGCTGTTTTGGATTTCTCAGAGCTGGGAGCTGAGATAGTGTTGAAATATCTCCATAGTGAATTTGCAAGAAATGCTTTTTTGTGGTATTTGACTGCAGTTTCTACAGCTAATAGAAATGGGTAAATGGGAAAGATACAACCTGGCTCCAGAGAAGCAGCATCTAAGGAGAGCAGCTTCTATGGAGAGAACATCTAAGAAGTCTCTAAGGATAAAACTTAGCTCCAGAGGAGCAGTTTAGAGTTATCTGTCTGACTGGACAGTTTGGCAGGCATTAAACCAATATTCCTTTTTGTTTAGAAATAATAATCTGTAGACTTCCTTGCATTAAAACAAGTAAGACAAAGGTATCATCCCTTCAGTGATAGAATTCTGGAACAGAGCTTGTCTAACAGCTAATATAAAAGGTTACATGAGCAATTATATTTCCTCATGGCCACAGCAGATGAGAAAGAAAGGGCACATAAGTCAACCAATATTGCAGCAGTGAACCTTGTTTCTGTGCCTTCCCATGTTCTGTTTCTGCTCCTGCTCCTTTTATATTCCCCTTCTGCCCTTAGCAGTAGTCAAGTCTTCCATTGTGCACATTCCAAGCACCAGTGTCCACAGACTTGTTATTAGCAACAATTTTTAAACTATCCATGGTATCCCCAGCCAACAGAGTAGTGGTGAGGAATGCCCTAATTTGAAAGAATTTGGAATTTGTTTGGAAGTGGTTATCATTTGCTCTGCTTCCTTGCCAAGATTTTATCTGGCTGTGTATTGATTCGATGTGGCCTTTGCTAACATATCAAGACTGGATTGTTTTTACCAACCAGAGGTTTTCCCAAAGAGTACAGACAGACTAACACCTAAAATGATAGTCATTAGCAATTGTTTTAGGAAACTTCATGTACTTACAAGCATGACTGCCACACTGTTGGGTCACCACTACAAATTCCTTGTTGCTTTCTCCAATATAAAGCATGGAATGTAGAATAAAGGAAAGCTGCATTGCTGAATCAGGAAAAAAAGCATCAGGCACATATGAGAAAAGTTGGATTTGTGCCTTAGCATGTGTAGGATTTGTGAAGCCTGCAATGTCTTGTAGCACACATTAAAAAAAAGAAAACAAAAGAAAACAAACAAACAAAAATAAATCCCAAACAAACAAAACCAAAAATAACCAACCAAAACCCCAGAAGATATTTCAGCAAAAGATCTACTTATATTTCTGGTACTATCAAAGTTTAGATTCCTGTTTGCTGGTTTTGGCCTTATATTTATGATGTTTCATGTCAACATTTCCTCAAAGTATTTTCTTTCCACCCCTAAGTTGCTAAAAATTATTAATAAAAAGCAGCTATATTAGAGTTTCAGATACAAAACCAGGAGACCATTTGAGTAAACAGAAGCTCTAGAATCTGTGAGAAAGAAAAAAATGCAAGGAATATTGGAAAAACCTGCTGGAAGTAAGCAGTTCCCAAAATACAGAACTTTAAGAAGCCAGCTTTTTTATAGGCTGTGTTGCAGATGACTATTAAAAAATGACTTACAGAAAAGCTGTGGTGTAAATTCCCCAGAATTATACATGGAAATGGGGAATGAATTCAGCATCTGAGGATAAAAACCCTTCAGCTGGAGTTCATGTCTCTTCATGTAAACCACAGAATCTCTTTTGTTTGAGAGGAGTGGAACCCATGTCTCATGGGGATTCTCTGATATGTCACCAGAACTAAACTTATATTACATTATCTGTTACCTCCTACCCAGCTGTTTATTCTGTGTGCAAGAATGTCATGGATTTGATACCACAACTTTCCTACCCTCTTTGACTCAAATTGGACTAAATCCAAGGGGAGTTCTGGCAGGACACACTGTACTCACATTTATGCATGCATGGGGTGTGTGAAGAAGTCTTGATTCCTTAGTGAGACAACTTAAAGTCTTAAGAAATTTCATATGAATTAGCACATTATCCCTATTATGGTGTGGAGAAAGAGTCCCAGCTTTCAGAGTAGCTCAGTTTAGTCCTGTTCTGTATTACACACTTATCAGACCTGGAAAAAAAAATGCCTGTGGTTTTGGACAACAAACTAAAACCTTGAATTATCTTTTGGTCCTATTATGCAATAAATTATAGAATTTACTGTCATCTCCTGCAATTATACAGTATGATGAGAAAGATGATAAATTGACTGAGGAGTGGACTAAAAAACTATCTTTTAGTCCTCTACAGAGAAAATTCCACGGTGACAGACTGATTGGACAGGAATTTATGTATGTTTGTGCTTGGAAGACAATAAAAACATTATTTCCATACTCTTCAGGAAACAATCCCTTTTATTGTAGAGAAGTTTGTATACACAGATGCAATGTATTTACAACCAGCTTTTCTCAAACAGATGACTGCTTAACATCCTTCACAAATCTGTCAAGAATGAAAGAAAATGAAGCTCAGAAGCCCAGCCTGCCAGCACAACACCCAAATTCAGATTAATTCCCAAAGACACCTGTAATGAGAGTAGATGGCAGAGAGATTCAGAAAGGAAAAAAATAGGACTGTGACAAAGATCAGTGGATGGTTTTCAGGATTGGTTCATTCCAAGGCATTGCTTAGCTTGATCTCAGAGTGGATAAACCATGAACTAAAATTTCAACAAGCAGATGGGGACCTGCCTTTGCCAGGGGTGTGGGAAGGACAGGCAGAAAGCATCTGTCCTTTCCTTCCCTTCCCTGGCTTCTGCAAGAACAGCTCACAGTTGCAATCTCTGTGAAAAGGATTTGTTGGTCCTGTGTTCCCCTGGAAAGCTCTTTTCCAGAAAAAGTCAGGAAAAGTTCCACATTTCTTCAGTGAGCAGAATGGAGTCAATGCACTAAGGGTGAGGACAGGAGGGTTGGACTCTGTTGTAGCGTGTTGTTAAGTTTCTTGTATTATTCCCCCATTTTATATATTGTTCCCCCTTGTTCAGTGTAAAATGGTTCTGCCCTCCCCAGTTTTCCCGCCATACCCCTACCTTAGGTTGCTATGGTTACCCCTGCCCTTGGTTAGTGTCAGTTACCCACGTTACATAATTTCTCCTCCCCCTTTTCCCCTAATAAGTAAACTTTTCCTCCTCCCCGGGCCCAGTCAATCACCCCCCACTCCTCCCAGTTTTCCAGAGCCTTCTTCTCACTGGGGGTTGTGGTTGGCTGAGGTCCCGGGGCCCCTCCTTTACTTTGTATTTATTGGTGTCCCTATTACGTCAGTTATGTTAAGCTAATCCCTCGACCTTCTCTGATTGGTTTGTTGTAAACCCCTCCCTTGGTTTCCACCTCCCTTTATAACCCTTGTTCCCCCACTGCTCTTGGACACTCTCTGCCGGTTCGTGGTGCTCCCTGTTGGTTTGCCAGAGGCATTAAACCTGTTTGGACCCCAGGAAGTGTCCGGCTCTTCATTCTTCGACCAATCTTGCAGCTTTCTCCAAGACCTCATCCCTGCAGGCACAGCCCAAGGCCTCTGATGCCGAGGGGTGCCTGAGGCAGTCAGCCCTGGGGCCCTGCCACCGGGACTGACTCCCCCTGCTGCCGTGGGCTCTTGGTCGCCCTCTCGGTAGCTGGACTTAAGGTCTCAGGCCACGGACTGCTGCAGGACTCCCATGCCAGCCCAGCCACAGAGAGATGGCACCTTGGTGTCTTCTGGTGCTCCTCCAAACTGTGACTCAACACTGCACTGCCCTTTCCTTGAGTGCTGTGCAATGGCACCAGCTGAGCCTCAGCCTGGACAATCACTCCAAATACAAAGGAGACAATGCAGATGGAAACAAGGAGAGATAGAGACACACATTATATTCCCTTTTTGTGTTTCTTTTCAATTAAAAGTAGAAACTTCATCAAAACAAAAAGTTACACGTGCAGGAGGCACTTCTCTAGAGAAGAAATAAATACCTCACACAAACATTCACGGGTGGATGAGTCCCATGAGAAGGATTCTCAGTACAACCAGTTCAGTCATAAAAGGAATCTATACCTTCACATTGATGTATATGAGAAACAGACAAAACATAGCTGCTGATGCTAAAGGAATTACATGCTGAAGTTCCCCACAGGCTGGGAACGTGTATCTTAGAATCTGCATAATTTAGTTAACACTCAGCAGAACACTGCAGTATTTACAGGCACATTCCGATGGGAAAACATTTGCATGTTAAGTGTGAAAGACACAGCTTTGTCACCTAATCATGGGACTTTAAAGCAGGGATTTTGTGACCTCAAAATACTATTTGAGAAGTTAGTGGAGAGGAAAAAGGTGTGTAGGTGGGTAAAGAAAGTAATCAGAATTTGCTAACCTTTTTTTTTTTTTTTGAGGATTAGAATGGTTTCAGGCTGGGATGAAGTGAGTCTGTGTAGACCACAGGTTCTGGCTTGTTACACATAGAGTGTTTCATCTATTCTCATTTCCCACAGTTATCCTTCCCAATTAAATATGTTTCCCATTAGCCAGGTTGATGAGAATAGTGCATAAGACTAATTCTTCTTCTTGCAATCATCATCATCACTCATAGCATAGTAACTTCAAAAATACTTGCAGAAGAGGAAAGAATTGGAATGTCACTTTTTTTGACTTGGTCTGTATTCTGAAGTTGAATGTGGGCATCTGAGAAACATATTTGTAATGTTTTGGAAGTTTTACAAATTAAAAAATAAAGTTACACTCTGAACCTGATTGAGAATGCAAAGTTCTACTAGCACTGTATGTCAGACATGGTGGAAAAAGCTATTCAGTGACGACTGTAACCCTAGTGCTACCCAGAATTATTCTGAAAACAGTTCACTAGTTTCTGAAACTACTGTAGTTGCAGCAAATTATTAAAACTATCTACAGAATATGAGTCATACAATTTATGTTTCAATATGTCAGCAAAACAGTGAAGTGTAACCCACAGAGGTTATATCCTGGAAGTGAAATTATCAAACTATTGCTTCAATGTCTGTAAAGTAAAGCTATCGTCCCTGGGGACACAGCACTCTCACTCATGCTGACACATAAGGTGGTGGTGGATCTTTAGCAGCTCCATTCACAGGATCATCATATGGTGGTAACAGGACCTGCACGAAAGGAAAAAAGTTTTTATTTTTAAAAAAGAAGTCAGATGAGAAAATCAACAGAAAATAAAACCCCTAAGGCCTTGTCCACAACCAACCAATCAAGCAAACAAACAAAAAAAAATCCACACAATACAAACTCCAAAACCAAAAAAGAGTAAATTATTAAGCAGGAGCCGAATAGTTAGGAAAAGAAATAATATTAGCTTGAAGTTCCTTCTTTTCAACATATATACTGTTTTCATTATGAAAGAAAACAGATTTCTTCTCATTTCATATGAGTAACAGCTTGATGTCATCAATTCACTGCAGGTACCTGAATTTGCTCAATCTGGCATGGCAGTGATAGTGGCTGCTGCTTCTGCAGTTCTCCTCTGTCAAGAGAGCTAAACCTTATCTCCTGGAGGAGTGCTCAAACTGCCAGAGCGAGAAAAGTCCTGAAAACCTCTCCTTCTGAGCCCTCCCTGGAATAGCTAATCATTTTTTTGGAGTGGGGAAAAAAGAAAGTAAATGGAGAACAAATTACCCAATGTCTAAATAAATCTCCAGATTTATACTTCTGGAGTACTCAGCTATGAGAAAGAAGATCTATACTCCCAGAAGCATTTCAGTGAATCCTTCAAACATCTGACAGCAATTAGGAAATTAATCATGTTTAGTCATATATCAACCCCATCCACTGCAGTCCAGGCAGCTTTCTAGGACATGGGAGATGCAAGTTCAGGCCACACAGGGCAGAGGAGAGATTTGAACCAAGACTCCTACTTGTTTAGGAAAGCATGCCTAAACAAGCAATTTTTAATGGCACCTGCACTGACATTAGTTAGCTTGCATGTGAAAAGACAAAGGAGGAGTTGGTCTGTGAACCCCAGCAGGGAGTGAGGATAAAATAAATGTCTGAATGAAGAATGAGTGTACATTTCCTAAAATATCTCAATAGCAAGTAAGAATATTACTGAAGTGTACTGTCTGAGATACTTTACGCAGCTGATGATAAATTATTCATAACGGAATTTCCAGATTTATCAGCATTGCTTCTTGGTCATTAAAGAGCATGTAAAGGTGATTGTCTAGATGTACATAGGGAATATCTGTAGGGACTTCTGCCATGAGAGGATTTCACCAATTCTTATATAAGTTGATAACCTGCCTTCTACAAAGAAACATCCATAATCATTCCTTGTGGACCTCAACCACAACATGCAAAATCAGTAGGAATTGTTCTGTAGATTTAAATAGACTTTGGAACAGGATTTTGTGGGGTAGTTCCAAGTGTGATTCACATTATATTCATGTGAGTTTACAAACATGCATTGATGACCGTGTGTTCAAGTACATCTGTGCATGTTGTTAAGATTACAGAATGGCTACCTTGGCATCTTCAGCCCTTAATCAGGAAAGCTTCATTACTTAGAAAAGGAAATTGTCAGAGCTGTTGCTCTTCATTAATACCATATGTTTGAGCTTGCAAATGCAGTATTTTATGCACTACATGATCTAAAAACCCTCATAGTTGAAAAGCATTTAATAAATTATGTCACCCTTAAAGGCTGCAAGCATCTTATGACTATTTATCTAGTGAAATTAGAACAAGATTTAGAATTTCAAATATATATTATGATAAAAATCATAAACTTATTTTACAATGTAACCTCAGTAAATCACAATGCTGAAGCATGTTAACTGTAAAAAGCTCTACAGATAAAATCCCCTCCCTAGCACTGATCCCTAGTTTAATAACAGGATTTCTAGTAAAATCCTCATGTTACTAAAAAAAGTTTCTCAAATACCCTGAAACATGTTCATTAGTTTATTATGACACAATATAATTAGTTATTAAATCTGACCTAGAGATTACTCTGAAAATGAATGAAGTTCCCCTTGTGAAGATTTAGCTGTCTTACTGCACGTTTGTAATGCTAAGCCCCAACCTGTGATCCATTTCTTCCAGGTTCAGAGTCTGTTTCATCAGGTGTGACAAGAAGTGACAGCAGGCCCTGTTATCCTAAGAGCTGTCCATCTTCCAGGGATAAAGATGAGCTGATAAACAATGGATGAACCTCTTCCTGTGCTCTGATCCTCTTTTAAATCCATGTGTCCTAAGGCTACTTTGTTTACATCAGTATTATTACTTCAGCATTGAGGTTACTGTCATTTCCAGTAGGTCTCCTGCCCTGGAGAATTAATGATATGAGTGAACTTCTCCATTCCCTTCACTCTTTTATGAAACAAAATCTGTCTGGTAGGAGAAAAGCCTCCTGGTAAGGCTTTTACATCTTGGGAGTAAGCACTCCTTCATTCTGCAGACCCAAACCTCATATATGGATCAATGGCCCTAAGGGCCCTCAGAAGACACTTTCTCACTTACCAACAATTCAACAAGAGGTGAGAGGAAAGAGGAATGCCTGTGGAAGTCTGAGCAGCTGCAGGCACACAGTTTGGGGCAATTGGGAGTGGGGCTGTGGGGGAGCCTCATCCCCAGCGGGCACAGCTGTGAAAAGCAGGTGAGCAGCATTGAAAGCAACGAGCCATGGAGTGCCAGGTGCACTGAACAATCACCAAAGGGAACAGAGGGCACACAGGGGTAATGCATGTAAGATGAAGAATATAAAAGGTTGAGCAAAAGAACAAGAAGGACAGCTGCTTGCAGCTTTCTGAAGTGGTATGGTGTCACTCTGTGGGTGAGTTCTTAAAGCCTTCTGGAGTTATATGGTGACACTGTGTGTGGGTGAATGCTTAAAGCCTTCTGGAGTTGTATGGTGACACTGTGTGTATCATGGCTGTCTCGGCTGTGACGCTGTGACAGACAGCAAGGAGATAATGCATTGCTATGCCTCAAACACTAATGGCCACTCAAGTGGGCAAGTTGGAACAGAACATTCCTGGAAAGGTGGGACATACAAAGGTAGGGCAGCCCCATTCTGGAGCCAGTTCTCCTGTTCTGTGGTGACCACACAACACGCAGCACAAGTGCAGAAACAGGGTCAAACAGTGGTTATATTCCTAGAGAGGACTGCGAACCATCAAGGATCCCAAACACCCCCTGACTCTTTTTGGAACTCTCCATCAGAAAACTCTGCGTGCTCCATAGTGTTGCATCAGATACAAAAAAACTCCTCCCTGGAAAGGATCTGGGTGTTCCTCTGCTAACTTGCAGGTACATAACCTGACAAACTTTTTGGTTTGTGGGTCCCCACCCTCAATGGAACACAACTGTAACCATTACTTTGACCACAGACATTGAAATTACAACTGTCAGTTCTTGTCACTGGATCCACAGGTGGTTATGTCTTTCCTCTCCACTATCTGCTCTTAATGATCCATCCATCCATAATGATCCTTCAAACCTAACTGAAAACCTTATATGATGGCTAATGGAAGCAGATAAGTGCTGTGAATATAAATCAGCATAGATATTCAGGCAGTACATTATGCTCTCCAGAGACAGAAAATGGAAGCCAGTCACTGAGCCAAAGGGTGAATTCGGAAACTGGAAAAATAGAAACTCACTATTCAGCCTTATCTGTGAATCTGATTGGAATGGATACAGTCTAAATTGGTTGACAAAGTACAAAAAATATGTGCATATTTTAGGTATATAGTACCCAAGGCTGAATCTCCACTCAGACAGCTGACACATTTTGTTTCACAGGCATTATGTTTTTGCATTTTTTTGTTGTGAATTGAGAAAAATATATGAATGTTGCCTGAGTGCTGTGGGAATCATGTTTGCGGAGTGTTTGAGACTGCCATCCACAAGTTGCTATAAAAATTATGAAGGACACTCATTTTTTGGTACTCAGCGATCCCTATGTGAAGACATTCTGGCTTTTTTCAGTAGACCAGCAAGAAAGTTTGGAAAATTAAATAGTTGCAGAGTTCAGTCCTATAGTATGCCTAAAATCTAAAGGACAGAAGCTCCTAGCTTATTTCACAAGCCCTACAACTGCATTCATTTTATTTAAGAAGCAAGTACCATTTTAACACCATCCTTTAAAATGCAGCCAGATGTAACATTACTCACTGTTCGTACAATAGTTTGGTGTAAAAGCATCACAGAGAGACACTGAAATCAGAGCTCTAGGGGGATCAAACCAAGAGGGTTTAAACCCACAGCTCCAGTCTGCCATATGAATGCTCCAGATACAAGGCTTTCAGCTGGGGAGGGAACTGGGGCTATGTAGCCCTATGCTCAAGTGGGACAGGGAATGCTGAGTACTGGGCTTTGTTCCCAATAGCATTTAAGCATTTTGTGATAAGCAGTCTTGTATAATATGCAGAAGTAATCCATAACTGACCCATAAGAAATCCTGTTCCTGACTTAGCTGGTGTCATCTGAGTGGTTTGGTTAATTGTATTACATAAGCATCTCTATTATAAAGCACATGATACAGAATGACCTCCTCTGAAAGAAATAATTACCAAACAAGTTTGCCAATGGCTATAACATATTCAGTTAATATAAGCATATGTCATTTCATATTTTTTACATCCTGGTTAATCTGGTTTTGAAGAATAAGTTTTTTAAGGCATTGCTTAGAAATATATCTGAGAAGAAACACAGGTAAATACTTGTATATTCAAAAAGTTTGTAGCTAATCTTGTCCCAACAGTGTTGTTTGTTTCTTTCTTTGTTTGCCTGCTTTGGGGGGCATATTGCATTATTTCAATAATCACTCCTCATCTTTGCTGCTGATTCCACATTTACTTGAACTTTCAGGAGAAAATTTTCTTTCTTTAGCACATGTATAAGTTTTCTCATATTCCTGCAGTGATTCCTGTTTGAACTCAAACTCTTAGATCTTCTCTTTCTAAAGGAGAAAATGTGCTCGGTTCTGTGTGAGTAAAATAGAGTAGATCAACTGATAATTTCTGCAATAAAAAGATCAATTGATTATTTATAAGATCAATTGATTATTTCTGCATTCTCACTCAAACCTCACTGAACTCAACAGAAATCTTTATGTGTATCCAGAGAGTTTTGGATTGCTTTTTCCAGCAGC